TTGTTTAGCTCAGCTAACTTTTTATTAGTCTCTTTTCTCTTCCCTGAATTTTTAGTTTATTATCTCAATTATCTGAGTATAGACACTGAGTATACTTACATTCCTGCAGCTAGGTTGTTAAATGAATTGATCTCTAAATGAGGAATTGTATATAGTATGTACATAACAATATTCAGAACAAAGAAATGGTCAAAGGAAAATCCAACCTGATGACTTTGCTTTTGTTTGTATAACTCTTACATGTAGTACTGTAATATGACAATGTAAAACAAAAGTGCTGTACTGTATAGTACAATTAGCATAAATTACAATACTATATAAACAAGACATATGGTACAAAAAAATAAGGCTTTTAAAGCAAGATGTACAGGATGGTTAAAAAGAAAAAAGGAAAGAAAGAAAGATCATAGGTCCAATTGGAGGATTATAAGTCTCAACAGTGCACCTAGGTCACAAGTCTGAACAGTCATTAAACAGAGAATATCTGTTTTCTATGAGCCCATCAAGCACCTCCTTGATCTTTTTAAAAATCTTCCCTGATTTCCTTTCAGATAACTTGGTTTTATGGCTTTTGCTTTCCTCTCTTTAAATGCCCATGGATTGATTTTCAGGGAGTTGGGGGTTTGGGGGGTGCTTTGTTGCCTTGTCTTCTCAGGTTTTTATTGTTTTTTGTTAGTTTTATGCTTTTTAAAGCTGGCCTCTTATTGTGGGAAGACTTTGTTGCTAGTACAGAGATCTCTAGTGTATTTGTCGGTGATGCACTAGAGCATTTATAACTATAGTCCTTTGCCTTTGTCCCAAGATCGGATCATCTCTGTTAATATGGGAGAGGGATGTGTTGTGGGAGAGGGATGTGTTGTGTAATTGGCCTAACACCCAGTTCTTTGTGAATGTCCAGCAGTAGGTACTTTTGCCACTGAGCTATATACCCGGCCCTCTATCAGCAGTATTTTTAATGTCACAAAAGTAATCTGGTTATTGGCATAGAGAAAACATCTATTAATACCAGCAGTTGTGCAACCCTGGCAATATCAAGTATTTCAGCAACAGTAATATTGTCCAAGACAAACTGGGTAATGACACATCATAAGAACCAATGATGTACTGCCCTTAAGCTTAGAGATCTACAGTTTTTTTTTGTCTTTTTGAGACAGGGCCTCGCTATAAAGTTTAGGCTGGCCTTGAGCTCACTTTGTAGCCCAGGCTGGCCTCGAACTCGCAATGCTCCTCCTGCCTCAGCCTCCCGAGAGCTGGGATTAGAGGCATGCACCACAACACCTGGCTAGAAATCTACAATTACAGTACTGTCTTGCGTGTGCTTCTTATTGCTGAGGCAAAACACCTCACAAGCTAAAGGAGGAAAGGTTTATTTAGCTCACAGTTTGAGAGGTTTCAGTTTATCCTTGGCTGGCTCCACAGCAGGGTGGCATGGTAGAGAGGCACTGCAGAGAGGAAATAGTCCAGGCAAGGTAGGCAGAAGCTCGCAAAAAACAGCTTCTTTCTGTCCCTTTATATTCCATCCAGATACCCACCTTTTGAGTTGTTCCTTCAATACCCAGGGTGCGGCACCCTTAATCCCAGCATCGCATCCTTAATGCCAGCATCACACATACCCTAATCCAACCACCTTTGAAACTTCGCACCTATAACTGCATGATGCTTTTGGGGGACAACGAGGTACAAGCCATAACAAGTGCTGTTTTTACCCTAAGACAAATCAAATACTGACATACAGCAAATATGTACTAAATATGATAACAATACCTCCACTAATGATAAAAAAGAATTAAACACTAGTAACATAGAGTTAACTAACTCTCCAAAGATTGATAAGGCTCAATGGTTATTCTGTTAAAGATATAGGGGGTTGGGAGTGGGAGAGTGCAAAAAGAAAAATTTGAAAAATTAAACAATGAGAGAGGAGGAGGAGAGAAAACTGAGGTAAAGTATCCTATTGTAGAATGGAAGGATACTTATAAAATTAAATAAAGGTAACAGAAAAAGAGTCAGTGAGAGCTGAGCATGGTGGCACATGCCTATATCCTAGTGTTTAGGAGGCTGAGGCAGAAGGACTGCTGTGAGATCAAAGCCAGCCTGGGCTACATAGTGAGTTCAAGGCCAGCCTGTGCTACATGGTGAGACCTGTTTCAAAAAGCCCCCCCTCAAAAAAGTCTATGAGAATTAGAAGCTTAAAGAAAAAAGAGAACAATGGAGAATAAAAATAGAAGAAATTAAAAGGAAAGGAAAAACAAGGAAAAGAGAAAAGAATGGAATATGAAAAGAAATAAATGAAAAAAAGAAAAAAAAGCTGAAAATGAATCTAAAAACAGAAAGAAAAAGTGTCTTTCTTCTCTGTTTTTGAATGAGTGGTTTCCTTCTAGGATCTGCAGTTTTGGAGTCCAGCATGTCTTGATGTTTTCCACTTAACATTATGGCCAATGGTTTTGTGAGGTATGCCCCCTATTTCAGAGGCTTCTCTGTTAATCTCTGGCTTTGACAACGTGTGTGCATCAACACGACCTTGCTCTTGTTGGTGGATACGGAAGGTGGTCACACCTCAGGTCTGTGCTAGATGTCAGCAGCAGGACAAGGGTTCAAGTACCTAGTGCTGGCAGGGCCTTTCAGACCCAGTTCTTTCTTTCTTTTTTCTTTTTCTTTCTTTTAAAGAGTAAAAGAAGGATAACATAATAATAGGGGGGGCTTACCAAATTACAGACAAAGTGGTAGGAAATTATCAATGGTTATTGTTTTACATATTGTTATCTACAAGATAATTTCTCAGGAAAACAAATAGACAAATAATAGTGAGTTACAGACAAAAGAAGTAGAAGATTATCAATAGTTGTTGTACTGTACTTTGGTATCTTCAAAGTGGCTTCTAAAGAAAATAAATAGAGCTATACACGAGTGACCAATTGAATAATCATTAACTATTCTCAATGGTTGTAGGAAACACATAATAATAAACATTCATCCATTTACAAAATAGGATAGGAACAATACAAACATTACAGAGATATGGACAGATTACTAGGAAAATATCGATGGCTGCTGTAATACATGGTGGTATCTTCCAAGTGGTTTCTGAGGAAGACAGAGATACGCAAGAAGGATCTAACAAGTAGTTACAGCCTAAGGGTTGTGAAAAATAGCATATTACCTCCTCACCAGTGACTCCTTTCACTGAGGTGTGATGGCTGGAAGGAAGGCCAGGATTGAAAAGAAGGACTGAGAGGCTTTCACCTGTGTCTAGCAACAGGCTGTTTTCTTGTTCCTCCCTAGTCATGATTACCCAGGGCTCCTCCATGGAGATGACAGTCTGGCCAGAGGGAGAGAAGGCTGAGTATGCCCCGGGCCCCCTCATTCCTGTTGGACTACCTGGTAAGATGGGTCTGAGCTCTGGGGCCTTTGCTTCAGAGGGCAGACCGATCTCCAGTGGTCACCTTTGCATTCAGGACATGGCCCCACTGCCCTCTTAGGGCAGTTCCTCTTGAGATCAGACCCAGTTCTTTCTGAGTGCAGGTCGACCAGGGTCTGACTTCTCATCATGGGGATGTAGCACATCCCCATGTCCTTCCCTGCCTGAGTTCAAACTTTTCAGGGACTCTCTTCCTAGACCATTCGCTGTCTGCAGCAGTCTCCTGGGGCTGTTTCTCACCCAGTCACCATTGGAGGGTAACACTGGTAGTCCTGCAGTGAAGTTGTTTTTTCTTTGTTCTGAATTCCTTCCCAAGAAGACACCTGATTAAGCACTGTGGCAATGTGGTGGCACCTGCACTTGTGCTGTGTGGAAGGTGTCCCCTTGGTGCCAAAATCCCAGGGTGTTTTTGCAACTGATAAAGTCTGTGGGCTCTGCTGCCTTTTCTTCCTGGATTTTCCAGCCCTGTGTGCTCACCTTGGTTCTAGAGAGTGCGCTTCCTTTCCTCTCAAGTCTCTAGAGCCAGGGAGACAGAGTCCAAATTATTTTCTTTTCTCAGTGTTGTGGACCATCTTTCCAACTACTCTATAGCTTTTAATTTTTTCTGGCAGTTCCTGTCTGATTTCTAGTGATCTACTTACCTTTTTTTCTTTAGCAAGTTGTTATTTTCCAGTGTCTGGATTCTAGATGTTGGAGAGACTTGTTTTGCTACTGATCACCCATCTGCCCTTCTCTTTTCCATGAATTTCTTAAGGTGCTCTTTGTCATGGAAATACCTTATTTCTCTATCAATTTTGAAAGATAATTTTGCAGGACACATAATTCTGGGTTGGAAATTGTTTTCTTATAGGGCTTAACACACTTTACTTGGAGCTTTCGTGGTCTTTAAGATAATACTTTATTTTCTTTATTTAGACTTATCATAAAACATGTCATCTGCATTTTCTTAGGACTTACTGTGCATGTATTTTGTTCATCTTATTCATATATTTGTTGAATTCAATGATTTTATGTTTCTATGGTTATGGCATTGCTACATTTAAATATGCTTAATAAAATATTATAATTTAAAAACAATCTCACTCTGGCATTAATATTTCTTTTATTATAATATGATCTATTAAAAGTATTTAATGTAATTTATTATACAAATTATATAATAAGTCATGTGTATATTAAATAAATAGAGAAGTTGGGCTACCTTTCAGAAATCAATTATTAGTTTTTTATTTTCATTTTTTGAAGAAATGAATTATTTTGCATTCAGCATTCAAGTAATTTTTCAGTGGTTTGGAAGAATTGACTGCTTTGAAGGGTGGTCAATTTGTTACATTAAGCAGTTTTTCCTCAGACTTATCTTGATTTCAGCCCATTTCTTTTTGGCCATATCATAAAATATTTTAAGTTTTTTTTTCTGTCTGTATGGCATTTACCAGTTCTTCCTTTAGCATAGATTTATACAAGGGGTTTTATAGAAGTTGGCAATTGTTCATGGTAAGTATATTCTTTTTGGATACAAGTTTTAAAGCCGTGGTTCTGGGAATCTCTTCAACAACTCTTTTTTGTTGTTTTATTCTTTCAGGACTTTCCCGTTGAATTGATTATCATTGGAATAGCTTTACTTCTTTTACAGACACCAGCAAGTCAGCAGAAACCAATCTTAAATCTAGGTAAATAAAAATAAATAGCATAAAATATAAATATAATGCAAATATTGGCATGAGTGACTTAAACTATATATCGTGATATCCTGTATTCTTTGTGGTTCTGTTCTGGAATTTTCTTAATCTTCACTAAGTAGAATTTTTTTTTTTAATCTAAGGCATTATCTTGTGCAAGGTTCCATATACCAGAATTTGCCCTGTAGCTTGTATGTTTGTTAAGTTATAATATATAAAAAAAATAATGTGCCTTTTTCATTAATGTTGCCGCCCTTCGCTTGGGCCAATACAATCTGTGTAGTAATGGACATGGATCTAAATTATGTTGTGTAGTGCCGTAACGTGTTGATATACTCCCATGTTCGTTTTTACAGAGTGCTTGAGATAAATACTTAGTATATAGCTCATCTTCTAGGCATTTTAATTCATCATGATTTTGAGGTCAAATTGTTCCTTCACATGATATGCCTGGAAACAGCTTTAGCATATGGAGGAGATGTTTGGCTTTCAGAGTTTGAGAACTACTCTGCTTTTCCCTTAACAGCCTGAAGGCAAGTATGCTTCTTGTGCCAGTGCTTGTCAGCCTCTTTTGCTTTTTTCCTCTATGAAAGTACACATGGGATCGTTCCAGGTATAATTTACCAGTGTTGCTACGTATGACTGCCATCTTTTATTATTTCATTGAAATTTTATTGAAATATAATTTACATATCATGAAATTCACTGTTGTAACGTGTACAACACAGTATTTTTAGTAAATGTATAGGTTCATGCAAACAGTACAGAGAATCTTGTTTTTAGAACATTTGTTTTACCCCTAAAATTTCTTGCACATATTTCTATTCTCATTCCCACTCTTAGTCCAAATTAAAACACGAATCTGCTTTTTATCTCTGTAGATTTGTCTTTTCTGGACTTCTCTGTAAATAGGTTTTATTTGTTTTTTGATAAAAAATTCCAGAGCCGTAGAGAAACTACATTTCTAATTCTGAAGCTACACACCAATATTGTGGCTCATGTATATGTAATAGAATGATTCAAGATCAAACACTCAAAAACTTTTGTTAGATAGCAAGCTTTTCTTTCTCTTGTAAGTCAGCATTTGTTTTGAAGTTACTTTGGCTAGGTGAATTAACCATATGGAAAACTACTGAGCTAGTTTCTAGCTACTGAGCTAGAAAGGCAAGGAAGAACTGTTTGGTATATTGGGAATGGGTATTCAAAGAAAGAGGCTAACCAAGAGAATAATGATTGTTTCAAATTTTTAAAATGCACAGTATTAATATAATATATGCTTTATGATTATTAACACTGGCCTTGTTTAAAAATAATTAAGGCTATAAATAGAAATGACATGGATTTCCTTTTGTTAAAAATAGTGATTTTCATAATATCTCAGAAACAGTTATGCATTAACACCAATATTTAGACAAAAAAGGTAAATTAGTAATCTTAGAGTAACAGCTGTTTGTACTTCAGATCATATTAAGGTTTGACTTAGGAATGATTTTGAAATAAAATAATGACAATGCATCGAGGTGATTTAAGGCTTGTAGAATTGTGTGTGTATGTGTTTATTGGGGAAATCATTTGCCTACTTTGATAATTTACCTCCGAGGCCTATAAATAACAGCTAGTCAGTAAATCAAGTTTCACTCAATAACCTCAAAATACTGTGAAAAGAGTATATATATGTCTTAATTTATCCTGTTAATTTTCTCAGGGAGATTGCATATGCAACTAATTTATTAGACATCTGTATATGTGTTTCTGTTGTGTGAGTTGTTTGCATGTTAAAAAAGGAATCCCTTATTAAAAATGGATGTGTCTGGTATCCTGGTTATGGGCTTAGTGGTTACCACTGAAGGGCTGTCCTGTCTCACCGTGCTGTTCACCTAAGCATCTGCTAATACAGTTTTCAACTTGTGAGTACAGTGTTCAGCTCTTGTAAGAGCAGCGTGTGTGCTGGCCGCATTGTGCACTCGTCGGGAGTGCTGGGGCTCCTGGCTGCTCACTGAGGGCAGTGGCAGCACTGAGAAATGGTGAAGGGTGCCTGCTGAGTGGTGGGAGCGTTTTTATAGTGACCTGGAAAGTAACTGATGATACAGTGTGAGGCATGACGTATGTGTTCTCTAGGCATATCAGTTTTTCAGTTATATATATTAAGAGCTTGTTTTAGATAATATTTATGTCCTTTTGTAATGAGATTTATCATCCTGCTTATGCATCTAAACCAGTCGTACAAGGGCAAGTAAAATCTCTGGCATGTCAGTCTTAAAGTAGCATTTTGTTTGACTGTGCCTTTAATTTTAAAACTGTGAATTATTGTTGTTTTGATGATTAGCTTTGAAGCTCCTCTCTTTCACTGGGGGTCAGAAAATCCCAAAGTCATCTCTGGTGCTTGTGATGCCACTTCTTCAGATATCATCTTCTGCAGCCTTGGAAGACTGTATGTCCTTGGATGAAGAAGGTCCCTCTAGGCAGCAGTTGGCCCTAAACCTTTTGGAAGTGGTCCAGCAAGAGTGTCACAGGAATGGCCACCAAAAAGTAATGAATTCATCATTGTTTCTCTTAAAGTACCTTTATGAATTTTCTCTCTCTGCAGATCACTTCACCTCCTGAAGAAGTATGTATTTGTATATAAACTCTTTTTCAACTTTATACCATTCTGGTAGGCAGGAGTATAGGAGATGTTAGTGCATTCTTCTGAACTATGAGAAAATAGAGTATTCTCATTGTGAAATAAATTTTGGAAATGCTGTATAATCTTTTTTCCTCTTTGAGATACCTGTACACATTAGTCACTGAATATTGTGAGGAATCTTACAGAATAGAAACTAACTATACTTAATCTGCTGCTTTTAAAAATATATTTGAACATTAATTTTTTTTTCCTTACAGTTAACAAATAAAATATATGACTAAATCTGGAGCTGTCCATGGTGGGAAATGCTCCTTGAATGCCTGGATGGACATTCTGGAGTCAGTATTAACTAAGACTTGTATTCCTTGAAATAATGTCTCTTGATGTTTCCTATGTGTGTCATATTCTTTTGCCCCCAACTATAAGGCACTAGTTCTGTCATATGACTTTTTCAGTGCTGTCTACTTTATTCTGCATTGGCAGTCTCACTTTTCCTGTTAAAAATTATCAGTGTTGGGTTAATGACTGAGTTCTAGGCCAGTGTTGGTCAGGCCTTCTATCTTTTGGTTTTGAGTTTTGCCTCCAGTATCAGTATTATTACTCTCCAGCCCCTACTTTTATGGGGATGGAATGAGGATTAAATAAAGATAAAGCCAGTGAAATATCTTACGTCTCTATAGAGGGAGGCATTACGTAAATACAAGCCTGAATAACAATTGTTGCTTCATCCAGAAAAGTAAAATACCTCTTATCATGTATTGTTGAATGTTATAATAGTAAAAATGCAGTCATTATTCCTTGTTTGAGGTGTAGTAGAAGTCAGTGTATCATTATACTCAAACTAAATGTGTATTACAGCTTCCTAACATCCAAATTATTTGATTAAAATGCTGGAAACTTGAAACTGGTAACTGATTTGCACTAAGAGAAAGAAGTTATTCTTGCATCAGCCTTAATAGGCAAACAAAATATGACCAAAAAATTCTAGTAGCTTTTTACCTTACCTCTTGGTTTGGCTGTGTGGAACAAAGAGGGGATCCTGAATGGGGTTGGGGTCAGGGCCAGGTGTACTGTGTCTAAGAGTTGTGTCCTTTAATTCACAAGTGTGATTTAGTGAGGATCACCCTAACTCTAATACCCAAGTGTTCATCTGCCTTTCCCAGTGCTGTCTACATCATTCTGCATTGGCAACCTCACTTTTCTCATTGAAAGCATGGTTAGTGTTGGGTTACCGGTGTGTGTGTGTGAAGTTTTAATTTATCAACAGTAATAGCTGAACGTTTTCTTTAGCAGCTGGCAAAGAAAAGGGAAGAGGAAGGAATCCTATTAGGGCTATAAATAAACATATTCCTTGTGATAGTGTGATGCTTTACTGAGGCTTTTAGTACATATGTGATCACCCCTTAGACATATTTCAGCCATATTTTACTATTGGCTTTTTCTCCCTGCACCTGTCCGGGTCTCTACTCCAGACACACCTATCAATTCAACCTGCCTCACACTCTCCAGTTTTTTCCTGAATCTTTGCTTTGTCCATATATTCTTTCATATCCTTTCCCCGAACTGCCTATTCTAGATCCAACCAAATGTTCTCAGTCTCCTGTGTTAGAATTCATTGCTTTTCCTTTTGTCCCCAGCAATTTTTGCATTAGTCAAATGCAAAAAACGTTGTGTATTCATTCAGAGGTTGCATATTTATATTTGTAACTCATAAGAGCTCAGTTAGGGAAAGAAACTTGGTTCTTTTCACTTTCCTAAGGCATTTAGGAAATTGCAGCAATTGAAACTGTTAAAGTTTAAATTGTAATATTAGTTAACTGTTTTTATCGTGTTTCTACTTTATCTGCTTTAAGTTTTTCAGCTGATCATGGAAAAGCAGAGTTAAAAATATTCTAGGCAATTATCAAACTAAATTTTTTCTTTTCGCATGTTTAAATAAGTAAGCTAAGATTTCTTTCTTTCTTTCTATTTTTTTTTTTTCTTTTTTTCTGGTACCTGGAATTGAATTCACGACCTTGCGCTTGCCAGGCAGGCACTGTGCCGCTGAGCTAAATCCCCAGCCCCCTAAGATTTCTTTCTTTATCTTTACGTCCACAATACCTAATCCATTGTTTGGCACATGATAGACATCAGTAATTTTTTTTTTTTTTAAGGAACTGGAATTGAACCCACAGCTCCCCTGCCACTAAGCTGTATCACTACCCCTTTTTATTTTTTATTTCGAGACAAGGTCCTGTAAGTTGTCCAGGCTGGTCTGGAGCTTATGAACCTCTTGCCTCATCTCTGAGAAGCTGGAATTACAGTTGTGTGCCGCTGTGCCTTGCACATTTTTACCCAGTGAAGAATACAAGTTATTTACTATCTTGATGTATTAACGAAATACCTCTGTATAAAAACCATAGGTTTTCTTTGTTTTTATCTCTTTTTTCCATTCGTGACGGTGACTGGCAGCATTTTATTTGTAGCTATAGCAGTTCTTTAGAAGTACAGTTCTTCCGGTGGATGGAAACAAGGTTACATATGCCATACTGAGCAATTCTGTGATGATCTCTCCATGTCTGAAGTTTTGATAATTATGAAATAAATCACATTTAATTCTTCAAATATGGCAGCTGTGGTAGGAACAAACCCCAAAGGCTTGACAGGAAGAAAGGCCTTTCTCTGCAATCCCTGCAGCATCTCTTCTGTGCCCTCTATTGGCAAGGATTAGCACTGTACTACAGGGCAAAGGAGAAACGCTGACAAGCTACCACTGCAGTGTCACAAAGCTGGACAAGGAAGGCTTTGGTTTGGAGCCAAGGTAATAAGAGAGTACTGGTGCAGCCGTTGAGACAGAACCAGGAAAGCTTTTTTAGAGGGGAGTGAGGAGAAGTGGGAAAGGAGACCTCAGAGCCAAATTCTGTCACTGTTTAGCAGGGCAAACTTCACTGCTATGAAATTCTCCC